CACTGGAATATCCCTGAGAAAATGGCAAACTGCTGTTTTTCACGTCAGAGGTACTTTTTCTGCGCGATGGGCAGAAATAAAACGAATAAAGCTTTTCCCATTAAGCGAAAAAGCCTCCACCTCCTTGTATTGCAACATCCTAGGCACAACAAACGTTTATGACACAACGTATTGTCAGTTTCAGACGTTCTGGTCTCTCCAAAACAAAAACGACTATATTTTTTTTCTCCCTCCCCCTTTTTTGTCATGGTACAGTCTGCACCGTGAGGATACACCGGTGGACGGTTCCATAGAAACACTTGGCGGGGGTGGTATCTCCTCTTTCCCCCTCTACTTTTTGAAGAGAGCGCCTCCACTCCGTGACCGGGTTTAACGGTCTCAAGCGGCGCGCGCGCGTTGCCATGGAAACTCAGAAAGCGGCTGCCCTGCCCTGAAACTTGGGGCGCCAGGGAAAAGTCGGACTGCGCCTGCGCCTCCGTGACTTTTCCCGCCTTTTCTCGATGGGCCTGAAGGCTTCGCTTAACACAGTCGCCTGGCAGCCTTCGAGGTGCCCATATTTAGTGATTTGCATCTGAAGGGGAAGAGACAGTTTAGTGTCTCTGCTAAAACAAGGCCACCTACACATTCCCTGTGAGGAAAGTTTGTTTGTTTTTTAAATTTTCTGATAGTGGTGAGGGGAAAATCGGTCAACCAGCTCATGAACAAGAGGCGCTTCACATAAAATGGACTGGTTAATACATGGCGCGGGCATTGAACACTATTTTTTTAAAGTGATTTGCTAATCTTCTACCTCCCTACAAATTTGGCAACCAGCTCATCAAAAGAGGGAAGATTTCTTGAAGAAAAGGATTCTTGCCTTTCCTGGCGGACATTATGATTTCATTAAGAGTGAACTGATACTTTAAAAAGAACTGAGGTGGTCCCACCCACCTCCCTTGGGTGAGGTGGAGGTGTTAATTATGAAACCCTTCATTGATTTCGCTAAGATGTGCTTGGGCAGAGACAATGTGATCTACTTATTACAGTAAACCACAGCTGTGACAAGAGGACAAGCAGAGATTATTGGATAATAGGAAATATTTTATTCTTTTTTTCCTCTTGGGTTCCCTGTCAAGAAGGAGCAACTCTGTTCCCATACCACAGGAGTATAGGGGAAAGTTTTGATGCCTTTTATAGCAAAAGAGCAGGGCTTCAAGTCCTCAGTAGTTCTGATTCCTGATCAAAGAATAAGCCAGGTTTGAGGCAACCCATGCCAAGGGAAATAGACTGAGAAAGTGGAAGTAATTTGATTCCATGGAAAGCAGAGCATAATTGTTTGGCTGCAACAAAGCCAAGCATCACAAGAGTAAAAATATTACAGCAATATTTCATCATGGATATGGATTCCACCATGTCGTTGGTCTTCATTCAGGGGATCACTACGCTAGTGGCAACTGAAGCCAGGATAATGACCCGCAACATGGTCAGCCCGCCGTCAGCCCGCCTCTTCCTGCTGGAGATGTTGGCCACTTTCCAGCTTTGCACCTGCTTCATGGTGCTGCATCCTATGGCTGACATAGATCCTAAACCCCAGCTGTATCTTGCTCATATTTATTCGTTCATGGCTGTCCATTTCTACTTGACCTTGAATGAGAGCACTAGCAACCCAGCCTCCACTCTGGTGTGCATTATACGTAAAGGTGATTCCATGCAGATAGGCTTGCTGAAGATTGCCGCCCAGTTCCTCGGTGCCTTCCTCGCCAGGATTTACCAAAACTTTCTGTGGTCAATGAGGATCAGCAGTTTGTTCACCGATCCTGTTGTCTGTGGCAATCCTCTCCAGACGGGTCTACTTAAGGCCTTTTTGACAGAGCTTATAAGCTCCATCACATTCCAGCTGAGCTTGCTAGAGTCACAGATGCAAGAGCTTCGTATTCGAGCCAATGTGCTTTCTCTTGCCACCACCTCCCTCATATATGCAGGTTTGTTATTATCTTTCTCACCGCCTAAAACGATCACAGTCAACAAGATTATATATGAAGCACATACTGTATACTGTATAACTAGTTAGATGCCCATGGAGAATATGCCCTATGGCTGAATTAAGTGAAGAAGTTGCTACCCTAACCCTTATTTTCACTCCTTTTCTCCCTGTTCCTTCTCCGTGTGTGTCACATAATTACTTGATGGTGTGTTAGTTGTTGCCTTCATTAATTCTTGATCCTTTGCTTCCAAACTTACTTTTTTCCTTGTCAGGATGTGTACTACCATCGTTGTCAAGCGTGCACATATTAGGCCTGTGGTGAGGTCCCAAACCCCATGGCAGACCTAATATTTGGTTTCGAGCCCAAACAGGGCTTCCAAAATGGTTCCCTATTCAGTCCAGAGCGATTTGGGCTCCATCTGATTTGATGTATGCCCTAGGTTTGTGACCTGATATGGTCGATCTATTGGAAAATCAAAGTGACTACAACTTTTTGGTTTTTGCAGCTAAGAAATATGGGAGATATGGTAGACACTAAAGAGCAGATTGAACCTGCAGAATTTGAAATAGCAGTTGTAGGTACCTTTAAAGTATGCTTTTTAAAAAAAAAAAACAGTAGGCTGAAGTTATTTCTATCCTGTTCAATTCAGTTGATGCCCCAGATCCAATCTGATTTTGCCTTGCCCTACAATTGAATCCGGCCATTCCATTTTGATACCCATCTCAGAGAAACTGGTCCGAAGCAGACAGATTCATTTTGAAATCTGGCTTGTGTGAAACTAGTGTACAGACATACCAATTATGTCTGCAATCAGGGTGAAGATGAGTGTTGATGTCACAGTGGTACAGATGTCTGCGGAAAGCACAGAAGGATGTTGTTCTGAGTGAGGATGGAAATTTGAAGAGATCCTTTTGTCTAGCAAAGGGAGAAAGAGACACAGATGTCACTTGTGAACGTTTTATTTTGCTTCTTTTCTTGCATCTTTCAGAATATATTTGCCTGCGCTAGCAAAGGAATCTAAAAAAAGAAGGCAGAAAAAAGAGTTTTAAGTGGGCAGGAGATAACTAGATGTTGATAAAAGCATTACAGTATTAACCGTTTGCTCTTCACTTCCTTGACTAATAGTCCCTAGAATGAAACAGTTACAAATACAGTATAGCTCTATTTAATCCAAGATGTCTACTTGCCAGAGCCTTTCCCCCAGATACTCTAGCTTTAAAGAGAGCCTGTGAGGCCCAAAGTATTGTTCCCATAGTCTCCTGTTCGTACTGTATACTGGTTTGCCCATCTCTGGGAACACAGGTGGGAGAGGCGGCATATTATACTGATTGCCAGAGGGCAATAATATCACTCTAGGGAAAAAGAAATCCAAACTCTCTGACCCTTGTCCAGCAG